CCCCCCACCGTCGGAGCATGCGCGGGTCGCTTGGCGCCAATTGCGGATCCAGGGCGGCTGCAAGAACCTCGCGGGTCTCCTGAGCGGCTGGCTCGCTCTTTCCTCGGCTCCAAGATGATCGGCCAGAAGACACTGTATTCTTTCTTCTCCCCAAGCCCTGCCGGGAAGCGACGTACCCACAGTCCCGAGCCGGCCGACCAGGGGACCCGCGTGGTAACGATAGCTGAGGACAACGGGGATGCGTTGGTGAGAAGCGGCGGGAACTACTTGTGGGGTTGGGGGTTGGGGCCGGGCCGGGGCTGCTGGCGGCGGGCCCCGCGCAATCGAGGGGTGCAGAACCGCGCGGCCAGCGGGGCCCCATGTTAAAAACAGCCTCCATGTGTTCAAAACAGCCGCCACGGGCCCTTACCGGCGGCCATGCTAATGGAGCAACCAATAGGGATGAGCCTCGGGGCTCAAGGCGCCAATCAGCGCGCCACAGGCCCGCCTATCTTGATCCGTCGTCCAATCGAATGAGGGGGAGGTACGGGAATCCAGGGAGAGTTTTTGCCGCGAAAAGGCCGCGTGGGGCGCCTGAGGCGGATCCCGGGAGGCGGGGCCGTAGCTTCTGCGGGTCGCCCACTTGCTCTCGGGGGTTTTCCCCAGCCCCTTGGATTTCTCCTGAAACTTACTGAATCTCAGGGTGCGAGGGATCTGTTGGCCCGGGACAAATGGGCATCTTGTGCAGACTGGCCTGGGGCGGGAGCGGAGCGCTGCGGCCGGTGACTCTCGGGTGCGGGCTCCACTTTCAGGCTAGCCCCGCCAAGCAGGCCCGCGCGGCGCCGTTCGCGCTGAGCCCGGAGCAGCTAGTCCGCATACAGAAGAACAAGGCCGCCGCCCTGCGCAGACTCGCCGCCCGCCACGCGCCCGCCGAGTTCGGGGAGAGCTGGAAGCAGCAGCTCAGCGACGAGTTCGGGAAACCCTATTTCATAAAGGTAACTTCCCGCCGAAACGTCCTGTTTACAGCCAGGGTAAAACTAAGCCGTGGTGGTTTTAGAGATTGGTGCATGGACCAGAAGGAACACTGGTGGCAGTGGGGAAGCAGTCAGCTGCTAACTGAAAAGGTTGATGGGTTGAACCCACCCAGAAGCTCCACCCACTCTGCTTCTTTAAAGATGCAAATGGTTAAGGTTAAGCAACCCTTGGACTACTATTAACTGAAAGGTTGGCAGTTTAAACCCACCCTTGGGCCCCTCAGAAAAGAGAGACCTGGTGATTTGCACATATGGGAATAGACTCCATAGGTAACTAACAACAGTAGCTTAAAGCTCATTGTCCAGAAAAAATTGGCATAGTGAAAACACCAACCAGGTTGAATGAAACCTGTCATACCTTTAAAAAATAAAGAAAGAAAGAAAAGAAAAAGACATAGGAAATTAAAGCATCAGAACTAAAAACAAAGTCACTGCCTTCTAGTGAATTCAGACTCAGGAGCCCATAGGACAGAGAATTGCCCCTGGGTTTTCCAAGGCTGGAAACCTTTACAGAAGGTAACTGCAGAGCAGGTTGGGGGTTTGAACCATTGACCATTTGGTTAGCTGTACCCATCTTTGATCACAGCACCAATAGCCTGTCCTTCAAAAAAAGAAAGCGAGAGAAAGGGGAGGGAATTGGAGTTGGGAGGCAGGTGCCATTTGTTATGTTTTTAAAGGATTTACGGGTAGAACTTGGCAAAGAACTAGGTATTTCAACAATCTTGTGTTCAAGGCTTGAATTCTTTGGGATTTCAGTGAGAATCTTATTTTAAAAGTGTAATTTTTTTTTTCCTAATTTCTCTTTAAATCAGTTAATGGAATTTGTTACAGAAGAAAGAAAACATTACACTGTTTACCCACCCCCTCAGCAAGTCTTCACATGGACCCAGATGTGTGATATAAGAGATGTGAGTATAAGAAGGTGATATAGCTTCTTCATTTGGGACACTAGAGTCAAGCTGCTGTCTGCAATTTAGTAATAAATGCTGTTGTTAAGTGACGTCGAGTCGGTTCTGACCCAGGTAATAAATATGGTATTGAAATTGGGAGATTTGACTGACTATATATAGGAGGGGACTCCCAAAAATTCCTGGAAAAAGCTGCATTACCTTTAAATTCTATTCCATGAACTTTTGGAAGCCCCTTGTATTTTAGCCTGTATTTTCTCTTTAACTTTTATCAGCTAATATTTATGCGTAATCAATAAGAACAATATGTGCATAGATCATGTGTCTAGCTCTTTTTTTTTCAGAAGCCATTTCTGAAATCTTTCTTTAAAATACTCAGAAAATTGAATGTTTTCAGTTTTTAGGAGTTTTTGAAGCTTCATTTCTGGTATTTTATTTGATCTTGAAACTAACCCCATGCCATTTTACTCTTTGTATTATGGTGGTGGGGGCGATGAGACTGAGGTGTGCTGTGGTCATTTCCAGCTAGTTCTAGGACTCCCTGTCCTCACTATAAGTACCAGGTTCAAGACTCAGACTCTTCAATGAAAGGTACAGAGTGCTTGCTCTCTAAGTTTGTGGAACACTCAGCACCTCAACAAGAAGACAAATAAGCCTGTTAAAAAGTGAGCAGAGGTCATGAACAGAAGAACAAAGACGTTCAGGTTGCCAACAAACATGAAGCAATGCTCAGGATCTCTAGTCATTAGAGAGGCAAATCACAACAACAGTGAGATACAGTATCTTATCCCCGCATAAATAGCAAAGTGCAAAAACAGAAAAATGCTGGTGAGGGTGTGGAGAGACTGGACCCTCCTACACTGCTGGTGGGATTGGAAAGTGGTGGGAAACTGTGTGGCGCTTTCTCTCTACTTGGTGTATATCTCCAAGAAATAAGAGTCTTGACAGGAATAGATCTATGCACACCCATGTTCATTGCAGCACTTCACAATAGCCTAAATGAAGACTGTTAAAACTTTGGGACCTACATACCATGTATACTACACAATGTTGAAGAATAACCAAACTGCGAAACACCTTACAACGTGGATGTGGACATTATGCTGAGTGAAATTAGTTATTCCCAAAAGGACAAGTATGGTATGTGAGACCACTTAGAAAAATTCAAGAAAAGGTTTTCATGCTAAAAGAAACATTCTATGGTGAATACCAACGCTGGGAGAGAAGTAAGAATTATTTCTAGACTACAGGTAGTTATGTTTTGACTTGCATGATGGGAAAGGCAGCTATATGTATAAATACACACATGCTCTGGTAGCTTAGTGGTTATGAATTTGGCTGCTAACCTCAAGGTCGGCAGTTTGAAACTACCAGCTGTTCTGCAGGAGAAAGATGAGGCTTTCTGCACCCATAAAGATTTGCAGCCTCGGAAACCCTGTGCAGGGTCACTATGAGTCGGAACCGACTCCGCAGTACTTAACAACAACATACATATATATGTGTATGTGTGTGTAGTTACGTGCCTTTGAGTCGGTTTTGACTTATAGCGACCCTGTACGGGGTTTCTGAGAAAGTGGCTGATGGATTTGACCCACTGACCTTGTGGTTCAAACTGACATTGCAGTCGAGTGCTTATCCTATAGCATCACACCAGGACTCCATATATACACAAACACACGTGTGTTGTCAGTTGTTAGACTATAAGGTGGGGGCAACTGTTTTTTGTTTGTTTGTTTGTTTGTTTTTTGATGTAGTTTATCTTACTTTGATGTGTTTGGTTAGTCAGTGCCTTGGAGTAGGTTCTGACATTCACCCTGTATAAGGCTTCCAAGGCTGCCAATATCACTTAGTAGTCTGACCATGATGCCTCTCTAATTAGCCCTTTCCAAACATTTGACTACTGTTAACAGATCCTATTGTTATAGCTCATCCTATGCTGCTGAATGGCGGCTCCAGTCACATCAGGCTCCTGTCTCAGAGCTTGTGTGTGGCTCTGCACTGAATAAGCTGAAGGGGCTGACCAGGCTGGGCTCTCCATAACTGTGGTCAGGTCCTACTTCCCTGTCTCACCTCCACCTGGTGGAACAGTGTATTATGAACTTCTTACAGATGTCCTCAAAGCCATCGTCCCACATCCATCCATGAAGCCTCCTTGAAGCCCATGCCTTGTGTAATCTGGCTTTTCTCTAAACCTCCACAAGCTCTTTAGTATCTGCTCACACGGGGGATTTAGGGGTTTGTTCCTTTCCCTCCCCGATTTGTAAGCTGACCACAGGAGTCCTGTGACATCACTAAAATGTCCACCAGATGGGCAGGAGACAGGCCATGGCTGAGGCATGGTACTAATACTCTGGCAGGTGTCACAAATTGCTTTTTTTTTTGTAATGTTTTATTGTGAATTATGTAATAGATTTCCAACCCTCACAAGCAGTCCTGATAACAATCATTCACTATTGTATCATAAGAGACCTTCGTTTCATCAGCCTCGGCTAGATAGATTCGTTACTACTCAGTGGAGATTCTACCTTCCTCCACGTCCTCTGGATCTAGGTTCCCTCTTGAAAGCTTGTAAGCCAGTCAGTTCTTGCCTTTGAAACCCCTCCAGTTTGGGTAGCCAATGCCCACAAATTGCATTTTAAAGCGAGCACTTTGATTGGCGCTCCTGGTTTTAAATTTTGTTTACTTTTCTGTTTGAGTATTGTGTTGTGAATACCAGAGAACCCTATGAAAGAGCATTAGGCCTGTCCCATGAGTCTGCATATGGCATGGACTTACCCGGCTCCTTGCAGATAAGCTTATGGAAGTGTTAGATTCAGGTAGTTGAGTAGCATAAACAAGGAGAGTCACTCCAGGTCCAGAGCCCCAAGCACACAAGCTTCTCTCCTAGGACAGGTTGCCTCCCTCCCTGTGGAGATTATCCTGGGTGTATTGACCACTTAGGAACAACACAGAGAGACACAGGATGATCGGGATCTGGGTGTTGGGAAGACAACAGTGTCAGCTGTGGAGGAAGATTCGAAATCGAAACACTGGACTGAAACCTAACAAAGAAGTGGGTGGGCACTAGACAAAGGGTCAGCCATCATCTCCAGTGACCTCTTTCCCTACCTCTGCCTCCTCCCATGGCCTTTGACCTGGCCTCATTCGTGCAGCCAGGTCCTAGGGAATCTGAGTTGGTTCAGCTTGCAGAGAAGTAGTTTGGTGATACTTAGGAAAATTTTAACTTGTTCTTCGATCAGCCACTCCACTGTTCGGAACATTGTTGTTAAGTGCCGTCGAGTCGGTTCCGACCCATAGCGATCCTGTACAGGGTTTCTGAGGCTGTAAACTTTTATGGGAGCAGAACGCCTCATCTTTCTCCTGCGGAGCAGCTGGCCTTAAGGTTCGCAGCCCGATTCGTAAAGAAATAAGAAAATGTACTTTGTGTAATGGGAATAATTTGAGAACAAGCTGGCTGCCTGTCACATGGTATTGAGCACAGTCACCCGAAACAGGTCATGTAAATCGGGATGAATCCAGATAAGATGGGGCTGCCTGGGAGAGGACTAACTTCATGATGTTTCTGGATGGCTGCACTTGTTACAAAAGTGTGTATACTCCATGGTTTGAGAAATGAGCATAGAAGCAAAGCCAACTCATTTCAGAAACCTTTCAGAAGGAGTTAGGGCAGCGAGGCAGAGCAGTTTCTAATGCCAGATAATTTGGTAATGGCAAGTAAGGGTGCCAAGGAAGTGACTCCCTTCTTGGGGTTCTCATTTGGGTCAGGAGGCAGTTCCCTTCTCACTGTTTTCCTTTGTGTGGGTTATCAGTCAAACCTAAAACTCCACTGCCCAGAAGTTGACTCCACCTTTTACAGTGAGTGACCCTATTTGAGTTACGGTGTTGGAGGAGAATATTGAAAGTGCCATGGGCTGCCAAAAGAACCAACAGATCCGTTTTGGAAGAAGTGCAGCCAGTGTGTTCCTTAAAGGCTAAGATGGCCAAACTTCTTTTCATACTTTGGACATACTGTCAGGAGCGACCAGTCACTGGAGAAGGATATCATGTTTGGTAAGGTGGAGGGTCAGAGAAAGAGAGGAAAACCCCCAACGAGATGGACTGGCCAAGTGGCAGCATCAATGGACTCAAAATGTGGCAACAGTAGTGAGGTTGGCCCAGGATTGGGCAGTGTTTTGTTCTGCTCTGCATAAGGTCGCTATGGGTCGGTACTGACTCGATGGCACCTATCAACAACAACAAAATTAGGACAGTAGAGGTGCCCCGAGGGTTCCAAGACTCATCTTTATGGAGATGGAGCAGACTGCCTCATCTTTCTCCTGCAGGACAAACAGCTGGTGGGTTCCAATCACTAGTCTTTGGTTGGCAGCTGAGCGCTGAATTACTGAGCCACCAGGGCTCCTTGGTTCTCAGGCAAGTGCTAGACTGCCTACACTGTGGTATTGTCTAACTTCTTGCCAACTGGAATTCACAGGTGAAGGTTGTCATCCTGGGACAGGATCCGTATCATGGACCGAATCAAGCTCATGGGCTCTGCTTTAGCGTTCAAAGACCTGTACCACCTCCACCCAGGTACAGTTCCTTCTAGGTGGCTCAGGTTCACACATGTGTGCTTTGTGAAGGCTAGTGGCAATGATTTGGAGGGTTTGTGTTAGCCTTTGGAGCAAGGTGTCTGAACTTTGCCCTAGTAATAGTTAGGCTGGGTCATGCTTTGTTGTGGGGCCTTTCTGTACATTGTAGGATGTCTTGCAACTTCGTTGCCACTAGGTACCATGGCAACTTTCTCCCTTCTCGTGATACCAAAAAATGTCTCCAGATACTGTCTCAGGGGCCAAAATGGCCCCCAATTAAGAACCACTGTTTTGGAGGTTTTTGTGTATGATGTGTGTTTTGTATGTATGCGTACATATACAGCAATGTTGTTGTTAAAGGCCATCAAGTTGGATCTGACTCGATGACCTTATATAGGGTTTCCAAGGAGTGGCTGGTTGCTTTAACTGCCAACCTGTGGTTACATTTATAAAGAGCAGTCTACAGACTTAGATGATTTGTTCATCCTGGCCATAGAGATCTGTCTGGGTGGCCCAAACAAAGACTCCCTATATATATGCTGTTACTAAGCGCTGTCCAGTCAGTTCCAGTTCACCGGTTACCTTGTATAGGGTTTCCAAGGAGCAGCTGGTGGGTTTGAACACTAGAAATCCAGTACTTATTCCATAGTACCACACCAAGAGTCTATACATATTATATGGTGTGGCATTGCAGAATGATGTACTGTCATAATGAATAATGCAGGTCAGCTTGAATCGCAAGGTCAGCAGTTCATACAGAGACACTAGGAGTTGGAATCGAGTCAGTGGCGCTTAATAACAACAACAACATATAACTACATACAACTGAACATCTTTTGTGAAAGAATGTAGCTGCTGGGTTACTTTACTAATTATAAATGCCATCCAATCAGTTCTGACCCATAGCTACCCTGTACGGGGTTTCTGCTGAGTGGCTAGTGGTTTGAACTTCACCTACCTTTCAGTTAGTGATCTGGTGCTTATCCTACACCAGGACTCTTACACAATGCTAGGCTCTAAATCCAAACGGCAAAGTAAAGTTTAGGACAGATTGAACTCTGCAATGAAATGGCAGTATTAGCCTCATTTCTCAGGAACTCGGATCCATATACAAAGTTCCATATTTAACCCTTGCTGACAGGGTTCCATTGTTTTTCCTTCCTGCTCAGTCAGGGCTGAAGGAGAAAGGGAGGAGGTGGGGGCTGTTTAAACAAGGGCTAACCTACAGACTTAAATCTTGAACTTTTTCACAGTTGTGTAGTGCTTTCTGAACTTGTAGACTTATTCTTGAGATTTTTAATCTCTTTTTTTTTCTTTTCCTTCTCACCTTCAGTTTAGAAAACATTTATAAAGAGCTGTCTTCAGACTTGGATGATTTTGTTCATCCTGGCCACGGAGATCTGTCTGGATGGGCCAAACAAGGTAACCACCTTTGAGTTCACTGTGGGTAGTCGCTGTGGGTCAACTCATCTTCTTGTTGAGGGCTTTTCCCTTTGTGCTGACTCTGCTGGTGACCCTCTCTAGTGATTGCTCTGTTCGGATGGTGGGTCCAAAGAGAGTGAGTTGAATCCTTATCATCCTTGATTCTAAGGGACATTCTGGTTTTTATTTCTTCTAAGACCGATTTGTTTGTTCTTCTAGCAATCCACAGTTATATTCTTGGCCAATACCACATCAAACCCAAATGTTTTTATCTGCTCAAAGATTCTTAACTTGGACCATTAGAAGCTAGTCTCACTCTGCCCATATAGACACAAGAGCGGTGTGTGTGTTTAATGTCTACCTACGGGACTTTTTTCTTTGACTTTTTGTTTTCACAAGTTAACTGTCATTATAAGGTAAGAATGTTGTTGGTCAAGTGCCATTTAATTGGCTCCAACTCACAGTGACCTTGTACAGGGTTCTAAGGGGCAGCAGATGGGTTTGAATCACCAGCTTTGCAATTAGCACTCCAGTGCTTATCCTACAGCCGCACGTGAGGACCTTAGCCCTCAGCCACTAACCAGAAGGTCAGTGGTTTGAACCCAGCAGCTGCTCTGTGGGGATAAAGTGTGACTGTTGGTTCTGTAAACGCTGATAGCCTCTGAAACCCTTTTGGGGGCGCTCTACTCTGCCCTGCAGGGTCACTGTGAGTCCACATTGACCCAACAGCAGTAGGCTTGGCTTTGGTCCTAGAATCTGAATAAGGAAAGAGTAGCTGAGCTGTGGTGCTAAGAGTGGTAGGATGTTTTCTGTTCGGTTAGTATTCTTTTGTATTCTGGGTTGAAATATACAGCAAAACACGTTCCCAGCAGACAGTTTCTGTACTTACCTGTCCATGGTTCCATTTTTCACATTTGTCCCCATCCTTGCTGTTTCCCTTCTAGTTCTGTTCCCCTATAGTCTCACTGACCACCCCTCCCACGGCCCCCCGCCCCCCCAATCTTCTCATCTAAGCCTAAGAGTAATGGTTCTCAACTTGGTCTTACGGTCTTTTCTGAAAGAGCACAGGATAGTGTGTCCTTAGAGGTCAGTGTCCTTAGAGAAAGGCTGTCACATTACTCCTTTGGAATCCCAAAAAGACAGTCACCATAACCTGAGCCCGTTGCTCTGCCTTGAATTTAACCGGCCCAACAGATCCCCTTGGAAGTTAGTGCTTTTTTGATTGGGGTGTGTGTGATATATAAGTACCCTAACAAGACTAAGACAAGTGTATTCTTGAGAACCTGTGCGTGTGTGAACGGAAACCATGGTAGCAATACTTTTTGACTGGCCTCTGTATTACTGGGTTATTTCATGTTTAGCATCTTTTTAGAGCCATTCTTTCTAATGACAATGATAGTGACTGTTGACTTGGGTGGTGTTGAAAGAGCAGAGATAAATAAAGATAAAGTGCCCTGTCATCTCATTACCTAGAGAGGCATGGTTCACACGGTGATAGGTTTTTGGTGACCTGATTTCAGCGGCTTTGCTATATTCTCCTGTGAATGGTTTCATCATAGGGTATCCACCCAGCCTGGGGGTGCTGGGCTGGTCCTCTGTAAGCCTACTTTTCACCTGTTTCTCCTGTGTGTGTTCACAGGTGTTCTCCTACTCAATGCTGTCCTCACAGTTCGAGCACACCACACCAATTCTCACAAGGAAAGAGGCTGGGAGCAGTTTACCGATGCAGTTGTATCCTGGCTGAATCAGAACCTGAATGGCCTCGTCTTCTTACTCTGGGGCTCCTACGCTCAGAAGAAAGGCAGTGCCATCGATCGGGTATGGTTGGGTCTGTGTTGTTTTGAGTCACATGACACAAGTATAGAAGAAAATTGTAGGAGTCGTTGCCAAGCAGTCCTAGAAAAGACATGTCATCAGCTGACCATGTCTTTACTTCCCTTAAGACTTAGCTGTTGGGACTCCGAGAGATGGAGTCATCTGCCCAAAGTTGCAAGCAATGGTGGAACCAGGATTGAGCCCTGCTCTATAGAGCTTCAGGCCCTGTGCTCTTATGCAGTGTGCTGAGCAGTTTTGTCTTTCCTCCTGGGTCAGTCTGTGCTAGGTGTGGGCTTTTAACAGGTGAGTGCAGAAGTCTAAGCCAGTGGAGGAGTCACCAAACGTTTTGTGTGAATGTGAACAAGATCTTCTCAGGCTCTTTCACTTTTCTTGAGAAATAATAGAAATACAATCTTGCATCAATGAAGCAACTGCTAAGTTCTGATTATCTAGGTGAGTAAGGCCAAGTGGCAGCATCGATGGACTCAAGTGTGGCAACAGTAGTGAGGTTGGCCCAGCATTGGGCAGTGTTTCTTTCTGCTGTGCGTAAGATCGCTGTGGGTCCATACCGACTCGAGGGCACCTAACAATAACAACAACAAAGGCGTGTACAGGAGTGTGAGCTCCAGTCTGCCTTGGGGGTTGTGGCCAGTTGATTTCTCACTGCTGCATAACTTTGATTCAGTGTATTTATAGTCTGTCAGCATTAAGTGGTTTGATCTGGAGGCAATTGTTAACAGTACCTTGATAATGGAAACCAAGTTGTGTATCTCCAGCCCAGTGTCTCCTGAGAACCATATAGTTGGCTCTCTTTTTCACCCTGTTCCAAATGAAATTCTCTTTTGCTCATCCATTTCTTACAGTATTTGCACCTATGCATATCCAAGGAGCTCAGGTAGCGTAGTGGTTATGAATCGGGCTGCGGAACCGCAAGGTCAGCAGTTGAAAACTACCAGCTTTTCTGCAGGAGAAACATGAGGCTTTCTGTTCCCGTTAAAGATTTAAAGCCTTGGAAACCCTGTATGGGGTCACTATGAGTCAGAACTGACTGCACGGCATATAACCATATCCAATTCCTATGTATATACCTTTCACAAATTTTTTCCTAGTCCTTCTCACTCTCAGTGGGTCTAACAAATTAGTCTCACTGAGTTGCCGCTTCTCAGTCACACACAAACAATAAGCATTCACTTAGAAGCTCTTTATTGCAAAGCAAAAGAACACTTCAGAGAAGTGGGTCTGTCTCCACGAGTGGAGAAGACCTGGTAGAATTAGAGCGCGTAGATTAGATTAGGTCCAAACAAAAGTACACTTCAGGAGAGAAGTGGGTCTGTGTGCGAGTGGAGAAGACACTTTGGGGTTGGAGTGCACTGGCTTATAAAAGTAAGGGGTTTCTTCCAAGAGAGGGCTAATACTGGTGGTGGTTATGTGCCGTGGAGTCGGTTCCGACTCATAGTGACCCTGTACAGGGTTTCTAAGGCTGTAAATCTTTACGGGAGCAGAAAGCCTCATGTTCCGTGGAACAGCTGGTAGTTTCGACCTGCTGACCTTGCGATTCACAGCTCAATTTGTAACCGCTACGCTACCAGAACTCCTTACATATTGATTAGGAGTGGTGATATTTATCTTTTTTTTTCTTTTTAGTAAAGGGGCTCAATCTTTTTGAAAATGGGGTACTTTCTGTAGTTACCAGCTTTAGGCTTATCTTCATGGGTCATTGCCTGTGACCAGCTGCTTCTATTAGGGTTTCCGGTTCTGATATCCTTATCTCTGTCTCCAGGCTGTTCTCAATGTTATCATTCTAGTTGGACTAGAGGTGTCATCCCCCTTTCAGGGCAAAGTCCATTTTTGTGGTGAGATTATTTAAAACCAGTGTGTTGTTAGCTGCCTTGGAGTGGCTGGAAGCCCTGCCCGTATAGGAGCCTTCTTACATAAAGCCTTGGCAGTTGGGAAATGAGATCTTAGTTTTGAGAAGGACAGTTGTGTGCAACTAAGCTAACTTTTAAAGAATATCTGCAACTATATTATTGTTAAGTGCTGTCGAATCTGTTCCGACTCATGGCGACCCTGTAGAGATAGGGATTCCAAGGAGCAGCTGGTGAGTTTGAACTTGCCAGCTTTTGTGATTAAAACCAAACTTTTGGTCAAGTGCTTATCCAACGGGACTCTGCTATTGAGTATAGGGACCCTGTGTAGGGATTCTGAGAAGTCGCTGGTCAGTTTGAACTGTCGACCTTGTTCAAACCAACCTTCTGGTCCAGTGTTTACTCTACAGCACCACTCCAGGACTCCCTATACACAGTATATTGCTGTGAAGTGCTGTCGAATTGTTTCCAACTCATAACTACCCTATATAAGTGTGACAAGAAGAAGCTGGTGAGCGCTGGTAACCACAAGGTCAGCAGACTTCGTTCCTGGGGCTCCGAGAGATGGAGTCATCTGCCCAAAGTTGCAGGAAATGATGGAACCAGGATTGAGTCCTGCTCTATAGAGCTTCAGGCCCTGTTCTCTTATGCAATGTGTCTTTTCCCCTGAGTCAGTCTGTGCTAGGTGTAGGCTTTCAACAGGTGAGTGCAGGAGTCTGAGCCAGTATTGGAGTCTCCAAGTGTTTTGTGTGTGGAGTCTGAACCAGTGGTGGAGTCTCCAAGGTCTAACCGTAAGGTCAGCAGTTTGGATCTACCGCTGTTCCTTGGGAGAAAGAAGAGGCTTTCTGCTTCTGTAAAGATATACAGCCTTGGACCCAGGAAACATCAAGACAAGTGGTCGGGTCCCCTTAATGCAAACCCCCTTCCAAGACTAAGACTCAATGGAAATACGCGCTCTGATTGGTGACCACACGTATTGCCGATAGGGGGAAGTGGGGTAAAAGCAGCAATGAAGCGGCAAGCTAAGCCCTACAATGTTCGGTGGACTTCTGTGGACCCAGATGGGGACCTGGTTGGCCAGCAGTGTGGAGAGACCTGGGGACTCCTGGGCCCAGAGTCAGCGGCGTGGCCATAGAGGACTAGAGTGGAGAGTGAAGCTACCAGCTGATAGGAAGAGAGGGCATACGCACAAGAACACCCACACCTGCAGATGGTACCCATGTGACCTGGCCCCGATGAATGGATGATCAGAACTCAACCAGGAGAAGAAAGAAGAGGAAAAAAAAAAAAGAGTGATCTGATACAATTTGTTGAACTTGACCTACACCTATGGATGCAGTAACCCAAAAGAAGGAATAAATCCTTAACAGCAAGAAACATTCCCACCCCCTCCACACAGAGTAGACAGAGATGGGCAACTTGAACATTGGATACCCAAATGGGAGGGGTGGGGGGACTACAAAGGCAAGAGGTGACTGGCTTACAAGCTTTCAAGAGGGAACCTAGAGCTAGGGGACATGGAGGAAGGCAGAATCTCCAGTGAGTACTATCTAGTCTGTCTAGGCGGAGCTGATGAAATGAAATGAAGAAGGGTCACTTGTGATACAATAGTGAATGATTGTTATCAGGACTGATTGTGAGGGTTGGAAATGTAAAGGTAGACGTTTTGTAGCAAGGAAGGGAGTGATTAACTCTCCAGTCTAGGAGCAGAGGTCTCTAGGACCATCAACGGAGAAGAGCTGAGAGTGGGACCCTACCCAGAGAAGCAGCGAGGCCCAAGATAGAGGCAGAGGCGATGACGTGGAGTGATGAAGCGGCTGGGGACTTTGGATCCAGAGAGGGAGAGGGACTGTGTGCTGATGCGGGGGGGGAGGGGGGGAGTTTGGGGGCAGGTTTATAGGGTATACCCTTTGGTCAGTTGATGATACATGGAGGGGATTGGAACCATGGCAATGAAATGATGTACGGTGGAATAAATGTAAAACTAAAGTTCTCCCATGTAAAATATCATATAATTCACAATAAAACATGTAAAAAAGAATATACAGCCTTGGAAGCCCTCTGTAGGGTCGCTGTGAGTCAGAACCGCCAACCTTAAGGTTCAAACCAACCTTATGGTCCCATTCTTAATCCTGCAGCACCATGTCAGGACTCCAGGACTATGAGGTTAGGGGCACTTTAAACAAAAAAAAAAAGCAGATTTGGCCATATCCAGGGCCCAGGCTGCATGCTCAGAGTTACTCTACAGCGAACTAGTGAGATGGATTTGGGTCTGCTACAGTTGCTGAAGGGAAATAACTGGAAAACGGGTGACTTGAGGGAGCAAAAGGTAAATTGTGGCAATCGTAGCTCTTGTTTTTAAAAGCCCCATTAAATTCTCTTGTTCGCCTGGATCTCTTTCAGAAGCGGCACCATGTCTTGCAGACTGCCCACCCATCACCACTGTCGGTGTATCGGGGGTTCTTTGGGTGCAGGCACTTCTCTAAAGCCAATGAACTACTGCAGAAGTCTGGCAAGAAGCCCATCAACTGGAAGGAGTTGTGATGGTGCAGGGCTGGCTATTGGGAAGTCCATGTGGAAAAATGATAGCTCCTTGTAATTAAGTGCCTGCCGCCCAGGAACAGCAGGTCTTTCCAGATATCAGTCCACAAGCAGGTGGTCAAGGCCTCCTTTGACTTTCTTGCCCTCCCTTTATCATTGTAACTGAGGGAGGAGGAACACCTTTTAGGTACAGTCTGTAGTCTGGGGTTGCTGCTGCTGCGTTTTGTTTGTTTTTAGCTGGGAGGTTAGACTTTAGGTGTATATTACTCAGGATAGCCCCCTGTGCCCGGTGCATTCCAGTGTCAACCAGAGACCCTGACCAGCAGGTGAACATTCTTAAAATGATGGTTGGTGCCAGGCGGAAGTGCTTTGAGAAGTGTGCTGCGGTGTTGGGGGGAGGGGGGGCATGTTGTTACTGTTTCTTGGAATGGTAGAAGTTGGACAAGAAAACTCCCTTTACATTGGAAATTATTTTCTTCCGAGTTAATCTCGAGTTGGATTTTGTTTTTAATAGATGCTTTTTATTTAGGGATAGCCACCAGAACAAAATTTTCCAATTACACACAGGGAGTTATGGGTAGAGAAGATGTCTATTCTGCTCCAATCTCATGGTTTTGGTAGCAGTAAGAGATGGGGTGATTTCTCTGTAAAGCTAAGAGTGTGAGGGTGGGGCACTGAGTGAATGAGGACCGGTAAAAGCGCAGACTGTCAAATGCTATATTTTATGGGCTGAAATAAGTATTTTTTCTGTAGCCCTTAAGAGTTGTATGTTTTTAAACGTATGAAACTATATATTTTAATTTGTTAAAGATACCATCCTTGTTAAGTCTGTACCTCCACCTTGTAACTGGGTGAAAAACGTTCACCCTGCGTGTTTTGTAATAAAATACTATTGCACTTTCTTGTGTCCTGAGTGAGTGCCCTCTGCCGGCTTCTCTTCTCACCAGTGCCCTTGTCTGCTTTTGCTCTTGGCTCACAGCTCCCCACCCCATCCTGCAGAACTCTCCAGCCCATTGGTCCCCATGGCAACCATTGTAAGCTCCCTGGTAGTCTGCCAGGCCCTGCCCAGCTCCTCCCCCTAGGCTGGGCTGGGTGGGGCCAAGGCTTAAGCACCCCAGCCCACAAGTGCTGTGGGGGCGCGACACTTAAGGATCAGGGTCTGCTGAGATTCTAAAGAGGATCAGCCTTGCTTGGCTGCCTTTTCTACCATACCCTGTTGCAGTTTAAAAGCTGTCTCTGGTGTGAGCTGGACTCAACTTCTAGATGAGGCAGTGAGGCCAAGGCACTGGAAGATCTCTGGTAACTGTTGACCTGCCAACACCTCCCTGGTGTCCGAAGAGGAAAGCCAAAGACTGAAGAACTGATAACAGGTGTTCTTTTCAGTGGGTGAGAAAGCACATTCAGTATGGACACATTTCATAAGAGTGCAGGGATGTGGAAACCTTAACATTTGCTTGTGAATATTGCTTTCCTACGGGCCCTAGTTTCTTCATCCTGTGGAGGGAAGAGTAGATAATTTTCACGCTTTGGGCATGGCAAGGCAAACTTTCACAGACTCAAGATGCTTTCAGTCAGCTTTCTGGCACCTTTGTCCACCCCACTAAGAAATCTCTGCTCCCCAAGGGAGAAGGGAAGGCATTCCCAAACCAGTTAGATTTTGACACTTATGTCCCGTTGCAGCATGCTGAGTTACATATAAATTATGCAAAAGGAAAAAAACTAATTACTGATTTTAGAAGTCACCAACCTGGTGTGGCGCTGCAGGATGCGCACTAGACAGCTAACCACAAGGTCAATGGCCCAAACCCACCAGCTGCTGCTCAGAAACCCAGTACAGGGCTCTTATGAAACAGCCCTTCAAACAATACACAGGTGAGTGCCTTAAATGATCTGGGACCAAAAAACAACCTTTCTTTAGAAAGAAGGTTCCTTAGTGATAAACTTTTTAACCATACAGTAATATATTTACATTTCTAGGTTTACTATGATTTCTACACTCCATTTGCAAAAATAAATAAAAGGCAATTTTGTGTTCTTTGCAGGGTCAGGCAGTAAGTATTTTACAGGCTTATGCTCTGGTGGTCTCTGGCAACTACCCAACTTTGTCAGAGGAGTGAATGTAAATAAGCGGGTTTGGCTGTGCTATCCTTTCAGACCCATAGTCCCCCTTTCATAGGAGCTGCTGGTGGATTTGAACCACCACCTTGTATTTAGCAGTCCAGTGCTTATCCTACAGTGCCATGCCAAGCTATGTATATATACTTGTTAAGCACTGTGGAATCGGTTCCAACTCAACGACCCTGTGTAAGGTTTCCAAGGAGCTGCTGGTGGGTTTAAACTATCAACTTGTGCTTATTCAGTGTTTCTTCAATTTAAAATTTTTTCTCCTGCCATAATTTTTTTATTTTTTTATTTCATGCATTTAACAACCATGCTTAGCTCTGGTGCCTTGGGAAACCGACTGGCTAGCCAAATTTGCCTTTTGGGTCATAATATTGGACCCATGTCCTAGGCATTCTCTGTCACATAGTCTGGCACTGTGGGAACCACAAGGAAGCAGGTCCTTTTGCAGGGAGGGAAAGTTTGAGCTCGGTACTGAAGGACTCCTCACTTCGAAGCCAAGAAGAATGGGAGCATTTTGTTGGACACGTTGTGCAAGGACTGAAGCAGCTCCACGTGACTGGATTGATCTGAACAGAAAGATTCAGGGAACACAGTCTGGTGAGGGCTCTGAGAATAAACATCAGGGGAATCAGTTATGCAAAATGATGTTCTGGGCACCCTAAGTTACCCACAAATTACTTGGTCACTTAAATCACTGCTTTCAACGAGTCCACTCATCTGTCTGTGTTAACTCTGGTGACTTGCATGTTGCTGTGATGCTGAAAGCTGTGCCAAATATTGAGACATGATGATTACCACCAGAACAAGTGACAGATACAGTGCCAGGAAATAAGTACCTCAGGTTGGAAGGCACTCAAAATATGACTTGGGGAAAAGCTACCTCCTCAAAGTAAAGTTGACTAATGACGCCAGTGGGACCTTCATTTGCTGATAGGGCACAACTCAAATTGAGAAACAGCTTTAAAACAATAATATGGAATGTACAAAGTGTATCTAGGAAAATTGGAAGTTGTCAAAAATGAGATGGAATAGATAAAGATTAATATCTCCTAGGCATTAGCAAGCTGAAATGGACTGGTATTTGCCATTTTGAATCTGATGATTGTATGGTTTACTATTTGGGAAATAACAAATTGAAGAGGAATGGCACAGTATTATCTGTGATGGGATAATATCCATACGCCCACCTAGAAGACAAGTTAATACCACTATTTATACACCAACCACTAAAGTTAGCGATGATGATGATGAAATTTGAGACTTTACCAACTTCTTCAGTCTGAAGATGATTAAACATGCAATCAAAATATGCATTGATAATTACTGGTGATTGGAATGCAAATGTCGGAAACAAAGAGGAAGGGACCAGCAGTGCAACTCATAGCCTCCTTGTGCAGAACAGAAGAAAACTGTCTGGTTCTGCAGCATCCTCATAATCGTTCTACTTGAACACATTGCTACTGCCATGGTACCAATCCATCTCAATAGAGGTCTTTCTCTTTTTTGCTAACCCTCCACCTTACCAAGCATGATGTCCTTCTCTAAGGACTGGTCCCTCCAGATAACATGTCCGAAGTACAAGAGATTAAGTCATGTCTTCTTGGCTTTTAAGAAATATTCTGGCTGTTCTTCTTCCAACATAGATTTGTTTATTGTCCATGGTACTTTTCAATATTCTCTTCCACATCATAACTCAAATGCATCATTCTTCTACAGTCTTCCTTATTCATTATCCAATTTCACATGAATATGAAATACCATGCTTGGATCAGGAACACCCTAGTCCTCAAACTGACATCCTTACTTTTGAACACTTTAAAGAAGTCTTGTGTAGCAGATCTGACTAATACAATACATAGTTTGATTTCTTGACTACTGTTTTCCATGAGTGTTAATGATTGATTCGAGCAAATTGAAGTCTTTGGCAACTTCAGTTTTTTCTCCAATTATCATGATGTTATTTATTATTGGTCCAGTGGTTAGGATTTTTTTTTTTCTTGACATTAAGATGCAACCCATATTTAAGATTGTGATCTTTGATCTTCATTAATAAGTATTTTAATTCCTCTTCATTTTCAGGAGCCAAGGTTGTATCATCTGTGTATCGCAGGTTGTTACTGAATCTTCCTCCAATCCTGATGCCACATTCTTCTTCATATAATCCAGTTTCTCAGAGCATTTGCTTAGCATACAGATTAAGTATGGTAAAATAACACATCCCTGGCACACACTTTTCCCCTTGTTCTGTTTGAAAGGCTGCCTCTTGGTCTAGGTACAGGTTCTTCTAGAGCACTGTTTAGTGTTCTGGATTATTCATTCTCTGCAGTGTTGTTCATAGTTTGTCATGATCCACACAAAGCCTTTGCACAGGCAATAAAGAATCTTTCTGGTATTGTCTACTTTTAGCCAAGATCCATCTGATGTCAGCAATAACCCTAGTTCCATGTCCTCCTCTGAATCCGGCTTGAACCTGTGGCAGTTCCTTGTCAATGTACTGTTACCTTTGTTTTTAAATTATCTTTAGCAAAATTTTACTTGTATGTGATGTTAATAATACTGTCCAATGATTTCTGCATTCTGTTGGGTCACTTCTCTTTGGAATGGGTACAAATATGGATCTCTCCCAATTAGTTGGCCAGATAGCTATTTCCAAATGTCTTAGCATAGATGAGTGCCTCCTGTGCTACATCAATCAGTTCTATTGAAAGATTTCAATTTGTATTTCATCAATTCTTTGAGTCTTGTTCCTTGCCAATGCCTTCAGTGTACCTTAGACTTCTTCCTTCAGTGCCATTGGCTCTTAATTATATTCTACCCCTTGAAATGGTTGAACATCGACCATTTTTGGTACAGTAACTGTATTCCTTCCATCCTCTTTT